GGTGTTACCAGCAGTGCTGCAGGGATTTGACAGTTTGAAATCATATTACGAGCTTCTGGAAGTAGAAATACCTCTTTTCTATTATACAATGCACTTTCAAAGTATGATAAGTTATCATTAATAAAATTTACATTTACAGTTTTTCATCTTTTTAGAGTATATAATATACCTCAGTATATTACGTCTAGGGTTTTCAAAAGACATTTCAATGTCCTTTGAGTTCTTTGAGACGTTGGATTCTTAAATCCCTCAGGCTCATTTAAAATATATCATCATGTAATATTTCAGCTCAATTTTCTTTGCACATGATTAAAAGATTCTGTATGCTAAATCCTCAGAAAAAAAAGAAAATGGAAAAATGACCATTTATATAATTTTACCAATTTAAGGCAAATAAATGAATTAGAATTTCTAAATTAGACTCAGTTTATTTTACTTACATTCCTTTCTTGACAGCCATGTGAAACTTTAAATGCTCTCAGGAAAACAAGATGAAGTGACAGAGGTTTAAGATGTCTGTGAAAACAGCATGTCTGCAATTCTGAAGAATTTGACTCATTTATTTTTTGTAGCATACTGAAATGCAGGTTAGCTGCATTTAGATAGCAAAGCCACCTTAGAAGCGCTTTCAAGGTACATCAAGTTCTCTAAGTGTTTGTTCTTACGTCAGTCCAAATGTATGTTTTGCTGGGGTACACATACCCATTAATTTCAAGTAAGCAAGCTGATAACATATTTGGACTACATGTGTTTTTTGTAGTAACAGGTACACATCATTTCCAGCTTCAAAAATATATGATAATCTTATATTGGAGGTTCCCTGAAGTAGCCTATGACAGCTGGCCATAAGATAACATAGAGAAAATGTTCTTCATGTCAGCATGGTTGTTGGCCCTGCAGAGCAGTGTGTGTCTACCTCATGCAGTACTTGGCCCAGGGCCTCCTGTGTCTTCTTTGTGCTCTCTGTGCTCCCACAGCCTGGTGCTTGTAAACACACCAAGGTCTTCAGCCCAGTACTGAGAAGTTCCACTGGCACTGACTTTCATGCAAGGACCCAGAATGCCTTGATTGGTGCTGTGCATCTTCCCTGTGTCTTATGGTGTCCCTAAGTACCATTACATGTTTTCTTATTCTAAATACTTAAGAGTCTAGAAAGGGGATCTGGACCCAAGTTTTTTCACTTGTGAAGAAGCAAGTGGACTGGCTTGATTAAGGAGTAAGGAGCCATTTTCTTTTCATTTTTTCACTCCTTGACTCACAAACAATTTTCAGGGCAATAGCTCAGCTTCAGTTTCCCATTCTCCTTCTTTCTAATCTGGTGAGGAATTGATATTTTTCTGAAAGGACTAATAAAGCTGTTAATCAGATGATTGAGTTTTGCATGGAGGTTTCTGATATAATGCTTTGCAACTGCCTACATGTAATGGAAGCTCAGCAGATTATCATACTGGTAGTATCAAGAACCAGCAAGATTTCCAGTCTTTACACTTTTCAGGACTTTTTCTACCTTAAAGTGCTTTCCTTCTGTGCCATTTTCTTGGTAAGAAGCCATACAGATTTGTCATTTTTCTTCTCTGAAGGAAGTGGTGTGTCTCAGGGTTGTGTCTTTTTACCACTAGCATAACCTCACAGAACCAAAAGTCTTTTTTATTAGCAGCAGATGTCAAGCAATCCTGTCAGAATGTCAGGGTTTATTTGATAGTGGTGATAGTTTGATTCCATACCTACCTTGAATAAATCTGGCTTTTTGGTAAACATCCGAAGTGCTATTTGCATGCTGCAGAAAGGTGCTAATTAGTTTTTTTTCTTTTTCTGGAGGATGTGATTTGCTGAGAGTGGATGATGACATTTTGATGGGTACTCTGAAATCAATCAGTGGCAGATCTGGGCATGTTTGAAATGTTTATGTTTAGAGCATTAAATAGCTAATAACTAATAAGCATTGATGAGGAAGAAAGAAGTAAAAGGCTTGGAAATGAGGTTATTCTTCATTTTGGAAATGGTGTGTGATGTTATGGGGTTGGCTGATATTGCAGAATCCCTGTGCCATTACAAATTAAAATGGTTTTGAAGTTGTTAAAGTCAACAGTTCCATATTCATCTTCTGTGTCAGAAAAATGCTTTTATGTGACAGTCAGCTTACTGGGATATTATTAAATCATTTAATCCAGTTGTTTACTGAGTTCCATACCCTGATCTCTTATAACCACAAAAGATTATGTATACATCAGAGAAACAATTTTTTGATGAGCGTATTTATTTTGCTCGTAGAGCTTATAATGCTTGTGTTTTGCTTCTACCTTCATTTCCACTTAATCCAAAGTGTTCATTTGAGTAATTGGTTTCCACATGGGTGGCCTTTCAGGAGAGTCTTTCACATTCTTCCTGAGGGCCCTGTGTGCCCTCTCCTCCCCCAGGGAGACCTGGAGCCTTCCTCCACTCTTCTCTGTGCCCCAAACACACTTCTTCACCTGTGTGGCTCTGTAGGAGAAAAGTGGCTTTAGTGGGATCATTCACACAAAGATGCACCTGTTTTTAGTATCTGTTGAATAGAGACAGCATTTTCATTTTGCTGTAAGTGCAGATTCAGGTAACAAAATTCTGAGTCCATCTGATCTCTATGGGGCTCATGCCTGTAATAGCAGAGGCTGTGAGGCTGTGTTCACAGGGCAATAGAAATGAGAGCTATGGAGCAGTGCCTAGAGCAAGGCCAAGCCTCCCCAAGCCTTCCCTATGTCCCTGTCCTTTCTGGACTCAAGATCTGTCAAATGTATTTCTGCTTTCTGTGTGCTGGTTTACATGCTTTAGCAAATAGAACATGGTTGTATCAGCACAATGTATTCATCTTTGGCTTCTGTTTGACACTTCCATTTGCAAAATTGCTACAGCTGGAGTTATGAGCAAACGATTTCTTTATTATTCATAAGCAGCAGGTGCTGCAACAGCCTTTTGGCTACAGTTGTACTCTCTTGGTCCATGGTTTCTATATATTTGATTAGATGGTGTCGTGCTGCTCAGATGGGATGCTAGTACTTCAATAAACGTATTTTGTTACACAATCGGCTATATAGTGCATTATCATTATTATTTCCATAAATCTCTTTTAGTTGACAGCTTTCTGTTGCCACTTGGGACTTTTCCAGCAATAATTTGCATCTTTTTTGTCTGGTGTCTTAAAAATATTTGGAAGTTAATATAGTGTGGACTTGATTTTACAATAACTGGTGCCCTTGTGGTTATGCTAGAACACATCAAGCAGCTATCCAAGCAGGACTGACATATTTATCTTGATTCATATATCATTTATGTCTTCTTCAAGAAATGTTCTTCCCAAGATCCAGTATAGCAGTTTTAGCACCCGCCTGCGGTGTGTGCATGCCAGTGTCATGGTGCTAAAAATCAGGTGCCTGTCCCCAGCAGGATGGTGGAGAGCAGTGCAGCTCGTTGCATGGTGGAAGGGCCAGATGATGTTTCTGTGAAAGGTGGCCCCTAGCACACATGTGGGATACTTGCCTCAACCTTTCCCATCAGCCCAGTGCGTGTCCAAATCTAGGGAACCTGCTTCAGCAAGGGGTGGGACTAGATGATCTCCAGAGGTCCTTTCCAACCACTATGTTCTGTAAATTCCCACTCCTCTAAGAAAGTGAGTTGCTTTTGCCAGAGCCTCTCCTGAGGGCTTGGCACTCACATTCATATGCGATTCTGCTAGAGGAAATGTTGGCTTGCAGTGCTGTCATCTTGCTTCTTCAGCTCTGCAGAATGGGCCAATGCAGAGGTGACTTGAGCCAAAAAGCCCATTCATTCTTTCTGAGCTATAGAAGATCTAGAGGAAGAGGAATTTGAAAAGAAGCCTGGGTCGGATTCAGCTACTGGTGATTTCTGGCCTGGAAGTGACCACCTCACATGGCCCCTGTGGGCTAAAGGCAAACCAACTTCAGCTGTGGCTCCAGCAGACCTTCATACTGAGTAAGGGGCTTGTTTTACAGTGAAATTGTCTTGCAGAAAGGACAACAACTATAGCCTGCTCTACCTATCCCACCTGTGCTTTCCCTGTTGCTTAACAGAAATGCTCAAGCAATTTTCTTCTGTGTTCAGAGGAGGAATTTTCCAATATCTCAGTAAAGATTTTCACTAAATAAAAGGTAAACAAAAAGCATGTTTGTATGGATAGATATTTACTGTATGGATAACAGAGCAGTCAGTGCATCTGACAGACACACACAGATGGCTGTCCATATGGGGACGAACCTATAGCAGGCACTGGCAGTGTGTCACTGCAGGCAGAGGCTGCTGTTTAGACTGGTAGCAGGCTGGGCAGCTCCCACCTATGAGCTCACTGCTATCTGGAAGAATCAGCTCAGCCTTCGCTTTGTTTAAAGATTGGGCTCAGTTTCATGCAGTGTGCTAGTTTCATTTGCAGGCTGTGTTGCTCAGAGTTGTTAGAACTATCACATGAAAGGAGAGTGGATGATGCACATTTAACTGCTGGCTTAAAGTGAGAATAACCTCCTGATTTGGGCATGGAAGGCTGTTAAAGAGAAAAGTAATGGACCAAGAGGTACATCCAAGGATTACATTAATGGGACTGCTTCCATTTAAATTGTAAATGGTACCTGGAGCAGGGTGATGAAAAATATGAAGAACACAATTTTGAAAGTCATTTTGGCTACATCCCTCAGACAAAGGGACCAGGATGACCAGAAGATGAGCAGCCAGGCTGTGGTGTGCTGGGCCACGTGTGTTCCTGTTCTGCATGCTCTGCTTGTGTGAAGGATAGCTCTGAACTCACTGCCTGCGTGACAGCAACCCAGCCAGGGATGAGCACCAGGCTGACCTTAGCAAGTCAACTTAGATGTTCCCTGTGACTTTTTGTGATTAATTCTGAATCTGATGAACTTCGTAAGGTGGTGACAATTCTTAAGACTTGCATGTGTTGTCATCATGAAACATGCTACCTATTTGAAGGAAATTATTAAACAAAAAATATTTTTTTCTTGCAGATGCTGTTTCAGAAGCTGTCTAAGGAGAAAGCAGGTAAGACATGGCATTACTTCTTCATTGTCACTTGGTGACTCATGCAGATGTATGCATTGATGGAAAACCTATGAGAATTGCTGATATTCCAAGTTTTATTTATTTTGTACACTTGCTATGATTACTTTCATGCCTTCGGTCATGAAGAAGACTTATTCGGTTCTTAGGAAAGCTGATAATTCAGCAACCTTGAGTTTATAACTTGAAACATCAGCTCTGTGATAACAAAGGTAACACAAAGTATTTGTTGTCAGTGTCAGGGAGGAGCAAGAGTGCTTTGCCATGGCACTGAAAGGCTTGTGGTGTGTTGATGTATGTGAATGAATCCTCTTTAGAAGAGGTTGGTGGCGGGCTCCTTCTGCAAAATCATATAAAATGTAAATGCAAATAATATAAGCACTGTTCCAGCCTTGCCCCCAGTGGCAGAGTCACGATGCATGTATCATTCACCAGCATGAGCTCACTTGCAGTCAATGGGGTGGGCAATATTAACAGCATTGGAGTGTTTGACTGGTATGGGAAAATGATTTATTTACAGCTGACATCCTGCAGAGTACTGGGATCAGAGCAATTGGCAGAGTTATAAAAATTGATATGCAGACCTCCACTTCTGTTAGCAGGCCAGGAGCTAAGGAAAGGTTTAGGTAGGCAGCAATGCTCACAGAAGTCCTGATTCAGCAAGCTACTTAACACGCAATTAAGTCTGCATTTGACAAATCCAATTCATTGCAGGGGAGAGTAAGCAACTGCTTGAATGATTTGCTCAATTGAGGGTAAATGTCCTTATTAAGTTGTAATAAGCACAATTAGGAACTATAGAGAAAAGAAAACGCTTCCCAAAATGTGAGATTACTGAAAGTTAATAACAGCCCCACAGCTCTGCAAGAAGAAATGTCCCCAAAGTCTAAGGAAATCCTCATTCCCACAGAAGCTTTTGCCAGCTAGCACTACTTAAATAAATCACAAAACAGCTGACCTCTGGAGCTCCCCATTTCCTACTTCTTTTTCTGTCTCATTAGTCAATGTGTATGCAGTGTGTGTCAATTAAAATGAAAGCAATTGGACATCTTTGTTGTAATTATCCATCTGTCCCCAGATGACTTAGCAAAGCCAGTTTGCTAACTCAGTGATTTCTCCTTGCTCAAAGCAGCACTTGCCTCTGCTCCGAATGGCACCCTCAGCTCCTTCCAAGGCCAGCACAGCCCCGTAAGGAGCAGAACGAGCCCCTTTGCAGCCAACTTTGCCAATGCAGGGGCTGTGCTACCAGGAGTCCTGGCCTAGAAAACTGAGCAGAAACACAGGCAACACTGTGCTCAGGTGCTTCACATAGTTCAATACATACATGGAGGCTGCTGAACATAGTATAGGTTTAAGTATTTCCATTCAAGTGCTGTGCACAATTATTTTTTTCTGCTTCATAGGGTATATGAGTATTCATTCTGTGATGACATTTGCCAGTGGAAAATATGCCTTGCTTTTCCAAAGCTAAGAAATTCGATCAGTTTTGAGATTGATTTAGCAATTTTCAATTGTTTGCACTGCTGGGATCAAAACCTCTTTGTGACAAAGAAAGATGATTATGTTAACAGTGCTCCTGTTTTTGACTGTGATAAATATTTGAATTGTTTTGTGATAACATAAATTTGGTCACTGAAGAAAAGATGAAGATTAGCACCCATCCAGCAGCTAGAAGATGATGGCTGAAAATTTGATAAAAATTGATAGCTGCCAGCATGAAAGAAAAATGTCAAGTAACAGGTTTGGTTTGGTAACGGAGGTGGAACTTTACTCATAGAAATTGAGCTGGTAATGAGCTTATCAATTAAAACACTTTGGGCAGAAAATGCCAATTCCTTCAAACTGAAGCACTTTGCAGGAAAGGTTTGCATTTGTGAGTTCCTTTTTGCAGCCATTTCTGTATAATAGGTGTGCACATCTTGACATGGGATCTTCTAACAGTGTTCAGAGGCAGAAGTTTGATTTTTTCTTTTTTTAACTTTGAAAAATCTGGGCTTTGAAATATGAGTTATGTTAAAGCAAGGCATGATTTAGGTTACAGCCAACATATTATTTAAATTACCAAATTGGCAAAAATTATGTCTAAGGCTGAGGAAGAGAGTTCCTTTCAGCTCAGCAGTTCACAAACATTTCTGATACATTCTCTGCCTTCTGGCTTTTTTTCTGTTTCGGAATTTCCCATGTGAGAAGAAACCCCTTCCTGCCTGTGTCATGTGTAGAGTACAGAACTCTCCTCCTCAAGCTCAATTTTTTTTGCACCACATGCACCGCATTTGGACTACTGTCATCCTCTCTCATTTTTGTGTGTGTGTGTGTGTGGTTTTTTTTTTCCTTTGAACAAATAAATGCAACATTTTATGCTTCCATTTCCTCAGTTTTTAGTGGGTGTCTGCCTGTGTGTTAACCAAAATGCTTGGATCTCCCTCACATAGGCTTGCCATTAGGCTGCAGGTCAGCAAACTGTCTGATCTGCTTGGAAGCAGGAGACAGGAGGACAGTTCATACCTGTACTCTTTGTACATGGTGACAAGAATATGTTAAGTTTTACAAATAAATCAAAAATATCCTATTCTGTGGTTTTAGCAAGACTTTTTAAAATGCTGGATTCATTCACCCAACCCCTCCAGAATGAACATGGCTCTCTTGATGCTAAGTTGTTATTCTAACCACTGTCACATACTTGCTGTCACTGATGAGTGTTGCCCTTAGTAGGACTGCCCCACTTCCATCACTGTGCAGTATAGCACTCTGTCCCAGTTGTCATCGCCAATGGTTTTCTTCTCATACTTCCAGGCCCATAACACCTGGCACAGGGCAGTCCTTCACCACTGTCCCCTGGCCCCATTCTAGATTTGTTCCTCAGGTGCTTTAATTGCCTGCTGTGGTGCTATGGAGAGCACTTTGGTGAGCTGCTTCTCTTGCCATCAGATTGATGAAGAAATGTTGTTTTTCGCATATGGTGATCACTGTTAAAACCTGACTGGCTGATGGTATGCATTCTTACCATCTCCTGTTATACCTCTTAGTGAAAATTATTCAGCTTGAGCATTCTGGCTGCCTGGTATATTTTAAAGTTAGCACTGCATAGCTCAAGATGACCAACACAGAGCACACTTCATCACTGGTAGGGAAAATGAGCTCTTTTACTTTGCTAACAAAAATTTGAAGTCAGATTAAAAGCTGAAACATCCTGTACTTCAGTGATGTGTATGAAGCACTAAATATAGCAGCGTGCTGGTGTATTTGCTGATGCATGGTAATGTAGTCTCTAGCAGAGCAGCAATGGGCTGGCAGGGAAGATGGTGCACTGCAGTAATATGATAAAGTCCTCGTGTGACCTTGGCCCCCAGGTATCCTTTATTGATGTGTTATGAAATTCAGATGGAGGCAGATGTGGTTCCAGAGCTTAACAAATAGCTTGATCCTGCATTATTTGTTCAGGCATGCTGCTAATTGACTTTGAGAAGAGATCTCCTTTACTTGAGAAACTAAAACTGACCTATATGGCAGCTGAATGACCACTGCCCACAAAAGGCCTGATTCTAGAAACTGCAACTCCATCTGATCCTTGCTAGATGCTGCATGTCTCATCAGGTCAAACCCATTCAGTGTTTCCCAATGACTGCATATTGTTAGTCATATAAAGACTTATGTTGATGTTTATATTTTACCCATGCTACATTCCCCAGGCAGGAGATACAGGTTGACTGCAGCAAGGAAGACTGAACTGGAAAATGGATAGGGCTCACAGAACCATCCTCAGTTCTGGGGTTTTCTTCTTGCTCTTGTGGCAATGGAGAAGATGGTTGAGCCCTTTACCTGATATGGAAGCCTGCAGTTGCTGGAGATGGAGCTGAGGTTATATCCATGAGCTTCCCTGTCCTACCTTCTGCACAAGAGAGCAACAGTGGGGTTGGACACTGCAGTCTGTCCTAGGCTGAGACAGTACTTGTGACCTATGCTACTGTTATTCCAGATACACAAGTTTACCCAAGATGAAATTCTGGTGTTATAAACCAGGGAAAATAAAGCCTTATCATCCAAAGCTCCTGTGCATTTACTAGAAAGGTGAATGGGGTCACTTGGATGTGTTTCCAAAATGAAGACAAGATGCTTACTTTGGCTTGAAAAATTATCAGGCTCTTCTCCCACAGTAGTATAGTGAAAATAAATTAGTGAATAGGCCACCAGGTGTTTGGTGGCCTTGGCCTGTTTAATAGCCTGTTGAATAGCTGTATGGCTCAATTTAGAAGCAAGTAGACTTGGTCCTTCTTCTGTTGCCAGTGCGTGAGAGGGTCCTTTCCTTTGGCTTCTGTTCAACTCCTGTGCTTCTGTTCCATTTGGCTCCTAATATTAGGCAGTAAGATTGGTTCTTCCTGCCTTTATATTCCTTTTGGAATCAGTAATGACAGAACAAACTCCTTGCTTCTTCTGAATAGGAAAATCTTTGCTTTCCAGCTCCTCCTGTTGTACTGAGGCACTGAAGGCAAACTGTGGTCTTCAGCTCTTGCAATGGAAATGAGTAAAATAAGAAACCTTTATACGTATTTCAGGATACTACTATTTCTAAAAAGATAAAACATACATGTTTACTGTTTTACTATGTGAGCTTTACATGAAAGTTTGAACTATTAAGAAATGCTTTGAATCTTACACTGGAAACTTCACCAACAAAACAAAACAAAACAAAACAAAGTAGTGTACAGACATTTTATACACAAAATGATACTCAGTGCCCTTCTAAATATCTTCCTCCATTTCCCAATTCAACTCTTTCAGTAACTTAGATTTTTTGTCAATATTTGTAATAAAAATAAAAGAAAAATATTTGAAAGACTAGAGCTGTTAAATCTTAAAAATAATATATCTCCTATGATTGAAAATATGTAGTGAAATAGACTTAATAAGTGCAAAAAGTGGTTGGTGTCAGGATGAAGATATTATTAACAGCTTTCCTACTTTAACTCATTTTTCTTTACACCTTGGACTGCTGAAGAGTTGAACACTAAGCTGATAGATGGATTCGGGTTTGTATCTTCTCTTGA